ATATGCATCGAAATTCGAAGACTCCAGTTAAATTAATTGTTGAATTTAGTACTTAAATTTAACAATTAATAATTTAGAAGTTTACCCCACTTTCACATTCTCTAAATTGTATAATTGTGCTTTTCTTAGAAATTACTTAAGATAATTTGAAGGGAGCTTCCTTTTTGCAGCGAAGATGTTTTTCGAGAACGAAATAAAATTTTCAAACGAATCAGGAAGAACGAAATCTCTGTATATTCGTGTCTTCTCTTTAAGCTTGGATTCTATCTTTATATCTCTTGGGATGATCAAGAGCAAAGGTTTCCGAATGTCGGAGAAAAGGCTTCGGTTCTGCCATCGAAGAAGCCATCGGAATCGCAGGTAGAATATTGATCTCACGGAGATTTAACGTATCACTATTGCGTGTATACCATACACAAACACATATATACGTACATCAGAATATACATGTACACAGGTATCGCGGTGTTGCATCGCGCGATTGCGTACCTGTGCTTCAATGACATACCCTCTTAAAACGCGGGACGAATCCTTTCTCCACGCCAGCTATCGAACGAAGCATCCTTGAAGGATTGAGCATTCTCTGAGTGCGAGAAGCTGCGCGACATAAATCCTTTTCATACCAAAACGCACGCGGTTCCGACCGATTTATAATACCATTTACCAGTTGGCGAAGGCGGTCCATTTTCTCCGCGAGCTACTCCGTACTCTCAAATACCGTGTAAAATAAAGAAAGAGAGAGAGGGAGAGAGATAGCACTACACTCCAACTCTCGTGTCTTGTGGATAGATCAGCGCCCACGTAACACAATCGTAAATACGATCGAATCCGCATCTGCACTCTACAGCAAAATTATCCTCCAAGAAAGAAAATACCGCCGACACATCGAGAAATCTTGTGTTATTTCTGCGAATGAAGAAAATAAAAACTGTACATAGAAAAAATCTGTTAATAGCTACCAAATGTTACATGAAATAATTCCAATCAAATGTTCGGATAATGTAATAAAAATAATTTTATTTTTCTAAATATTCAGTAAATATTATATACAATCAACTATTTGGGTTAGTAATACTTATTGAATATTCAGAGAAGTAAATTTATTTTTGATTATATCAAACGAACATTTGATTGAAATTATTGAATTTCATTCGACATTTGGTAGCTAATATCAGACTCTTTTTTTAGTACGATCCGACAATCGGACCAAAAATAATTTCTTTAATGTCAAGGATGAAGTTAATGAAGAAAGTGAGGAAAATACGATACAGTGTTGTAATTTTAATTAACGTTATTTGTATTTAATTAACGTTATTCGTATTTATAAAAATAACTTCCAACTCGAATAGCAACTCAAACGCAAAGAATGTTCCTGAGGAAGACTCTATGTATATTATTGCGATATTACTTCGTTTGCTCGCGAATATGTATCAATCGATTTGAAAAGATTCCATTAAATTCGGTTCATCAGTTCGATTGGAAACAGCAATTCGCATACGGCTTTGGACCGTCGACATTCATTCGCGTGCGTCATAAATCTGACAGCATCCGTACGCGCTTTACAACGACGACATGCTGCGCCTTGCATTATTCAGAGAATCCACGAAGACGCAGCTCGATCTGAATAACGGCAACCGTGGAATATATCAAGAGATTTTCTTAAAAGGAGCCATCTTGCCCGCGCGCTGTCTTGCGAAATGTACTTCGCGGAGAATATATTTAAATCTTGGGTATACGCAGCGCGCCACGTGTAATACCACGTACAATATTGGATTGTCCCCTATTTCTTCCGTAAATTTCTACACTGGTGTAGAGATTACTGCATAAAATCTTGGTAATTTTCGTTACAAGTCAGAAATTATATCTCGCGAATGTTTGCCATATTCTATTTTTCAAATAAATCAATGAATGGGATTACAAATAGAAATAAAAATTATCTTGAAACTATAATATTTCTTCAGACACTCTTCCCGGAAAGTTGAGAGATCCCAGGTTCGAACCCTGGCTGAGGTAATATTTTTCGCAGTAAGTTTCTTTCTCTCTTTCTTTCCAATCTATTTAAGGGGGATTATTAGCGTTTCAGAATGATTGTGTTGAAAGTCCGAAAGTATCGGCGCGCAATCATATCTGGAATAAATTGATTTAATAAACAATATACAATGTAGTATTCGAAACATCTAACTTTGATCGATCATGGCTTTCTTTATCGTATTTGATATAATATTTCTTATTCCGAGTAAATTAAAACAGACGAATAAATCCCCGGAGGAAGACGTAAAGTCTTCAAAATATAACATCACTTTTTCTTCCAAGTATATTCAAGAACTTTACGATCAATGTTGAACTTGTAGTATCATCGACTTCCTCCAAAAATAGAGTCCTCCAAAAATTTCATCTTGTTCGAGATATCTACGCGTCGTCGCAGCGAAATTGCATTTTGTGTATCGCGCGGTTTAGGACGATCGCACTAAAACTGTGTAGTTTCTCCCCTGCCTTCTGGAATTCGTAAAAAGAAACTGTTCGTTACCTTTAAAAATTTCCCGGGACACGCGAAAGCGTCGCGAGAAAGGAGCGAGACGCTACTTCGAGTCTCCTCTCGCGCATTTTCTTGTTCCTAGTAGCACGACGGAATATTGCATTACGCTCGACATGAAGCGAACTCGCCCGTGACGAAATTTTATCTCGCAAAATAGACTACTCGTGTCGGATCAAAGTTGATTATTCGTGCATGCTTCGAAATTACATTCAGGAAAACGAGCATAATACTTCCGAGTAACAAATGCACTGTACGTGAACACGTGCAGGAGTCTTCCTCTCTTGACTGTTGCGTTTTCTATATTCAAAGTAGAGACTCTCTATTTGAGAAAATCCAAGAAGCATCTATCCCAATGAAGATATTTAGCCGTTATATTTAAATAAAAAATCGAGTTTTAGAAATGAGATGTAACTAAAGTAAACAGGATATTGCTTTTCTGGGTAATATTGCTGACATGCGTAAAATCGTTGACACGAAATTATACTCTTACGTGGAATGATAGACAAGAAATTATACTTTACGTAAAATTGTTGACAAAAAGTTACACATTTCTAACTTTTAAGAATATATATGAGTTGTTATCGCAACGATACTGTCGCGATTAATATATTTAACGTAATACATGGCAGTACTAAATTAATACATTTGATAACACTGTTCGATAAAAAAAACATCAGAATGAGATTAGTCATTTCCCGTAACTTTTTAGGACGTTGAATACGCATCCGGTTTCCAAATTGCTTCATCGCGTCATAATTTTGAGAAATTGCTCCACACATCACAATTTTCAGTTAAAATTGTAATAAGGGAGTATTTCATCATGTTATAATTACGGTATGTGACATGCCGGAGAGTTTTATTACAATCAACATTAAGTATGCCATTAGAACTTTCAGCCATCAAAAGAATTTTTTAGTATTGGCTACCACGTCAAAATTGATAAATTCAAAATTACGAAAAACCTTTATACATCAATTTTTACAATAATCCGGACATTTTTAAGTTTTGATATCCGTCATACTGTCATGTTAAATTTGTTAATTAAGTCAGTTTTAACATCAATTCTTTGTATTCAGTGACCTAAAAAACCTTTAAGTTTAAATAAATGTAATTAGAATCAATTTGATAAATAATCACTTATTTGGTAAATGATCACAATAATTCACAGCTTTTCTGTAATTTTAACCATGAATGTCTTATAGTCGACTACTAAAAAGTCTTTTTGAAAGCTGAAAATTTCAACAACTTCACTTTGAAATAAAACTTCTCCAGTACGTCACACATAGCATACTTATAATATAACAAAACATATGAAAATAGCTCTTTTTAGCAATTTTAATTGCAAATTTCTCAAAAGTGCGACGTGATAAAACAATTTGGAAAATGGATTCATATTCAGCATCCAAAGAATTAGAAAACATGATTAGCCTTGTTTTGATGTTCAAAATTTATTTCTTGTCGTACAATGTAATTGATCGTTCGCTTCTAAAAGTCAGAGTTTTCAAAAACTTCGTAAATGTTAATGAGCAATTTGTTAATTAACAATTTTAATGATCTCTGAACGCGTCAGGATATTTACGACAATCGGGCAGTGTCAAAGCAAGCTTCTCAGAGAATTAACGATTTTATACACTTTTGCTAAGCTGGATAAGCGAAAGCTGGATGAGCGAGCCAGCGATTTAATAATTAATTAATTAGAACATACGCTAATTACAAAATCCGATGAGTGTATGCTCTCACATAATTCTCGAGATGAAACTTTCTCCTCGACAATCAAAATAAAGGGATAAATTTTCATTTACGTTTGTGCTATTTGTATATACAAATGTATATGCAAATAACACAATATATGCGGAAAAAACGGTATTGTTGAAGTATCAAAAATTTCAACTAGATACATATTTGAAAATAATTTTGTTAAACCAAAATAATTATGTAGGATGTTCAAACTGGTTGCTAAAACATCAAAACTTTTGCGGCATTACTCATCATACTTGAGATTCTTATGTAATTATTTTAACAGTCCAACAAAATTATCTTTAGATCTGTATCTAATCAAATTGTTAGACTTCAGTATAATCATTCTTTCCGTATTTAAAGACAACTCTTAATTATTTTAAACTCTTGATTAAAGTTATATAATATCTGTGCCGGCAATTTAGTAATTATATCGAGGAAAAAATTATTAAATCTTAATACACATTTTTTTCAATAGCACTAATTAAACACACATTTACTTATACTTAAATAAATATTTACTCAATAAAAAATGACTGTTAAATCAAATTAATATTCATTTAAATAACATTTAATAAACATAAATAAACATATATTTAATTAATGCAAGAACCATTAGTACTATTCAAACAAAATAATTATTAAATATTTATTAAAATTTAGTATATTTTTTCGGTGTAGAAACAGCAGATAATTTTGTAAAGTACACTATTTTTCACGTACTCACCTCGATACTGAAATAACCTCTGTCCACATAGTCGCCTAGGAAGAGATACTTAGTTGAGGAGGGTGGACCGCCCACTTCGAATAATTTCATCAGGTCGTAGAACTGTCCGTGAATGTCGCCGCATACTGAAACCAAAAGTAGATCCAAATTAAATGTGGAAAGAAACCCCCTTATTCAAAGGGAAAACTAGTGAAGAATTAATTAGCAGAAAGTTTTCTGAGCTGCGAATTACGTAACGTCGCATGCAATTTCTCTTTCGGGGCGCATTGAGTTATGCGAGATAAAAGCGCCATTCAAAAAACGAGACGTAATTACCCGGCGAGCGATTAATATAGCGCGATTAAAGCGCATCTTGCATCGAATATATAGACATTAGCGACCCTTGAGAGTCGGTAAACTTGTTTGCGAACGTTTCAAAGTGAAATTACGCTCCTGTGTCGTAGAGGATACGGGACGAAGCGGGATATGTTGAGAAACTTCAAGTTCTCGAAACCGAGAACTATTAGCGACCAGAACCCGGAGTGACGTCGGAGTTACTTTGACGCGGTATTCGTCGTTCGTTTTCAATATTGTTTCACATTGTCTAAAAAAAAAAATTATTCCAAAAAATTGTACATATAAAAATTTATGTATATATGCAATTATCGCTATGAATTTACTCATCTAATCGTGCTTGTAAAATCACAAAAACAGTAACAAAGATATTCGAAATATGAAGACGTTAAAGTACATAATTCAATTTTCTTTTTATCCTTTCACATTCTATTATGTTTCCCAAAATGTTTTTGTCCTCTTTGTGCATTTTGTTCAAATACCACAGCTATTTCAAAGTGTTTGTACAATTTTCGAAACTTGAAGCTGTCTTTAGTAGATAATAGACGGCATAAGACGAGCCAAGACAGGCGACGAAATTTTTAAAGGATATACATAAAAAAAAAGATGTACATACAATAACATATAACAGAAAGAAGATATGACACGAGCGGTAAACTGTTATACACACGACGATAAATGAAGGCCCATAAACTGCTGCGACTTAGTTTTCCGCCATCCAGCGAAAACTATCGGAGGACTGAATACCGGTGTGCGCCGGCATAACATCATAGGCTCTTACGACTACCAACTATTTTTATTATTCACCGCTTACAGTGCTGCTTTCACAACATTTTCCGATACCGTTTGTTGCAGGGATGCACTCACCAATAAAGTTGTTCTCGAACTATGCGCCGCACAGTGCAGTCGTCCGTTGTAGTAATCAAATAAAAAAAAAAGATCTATGTTTCAGCTTTATACTTCATTCGAAAAGCGCGGAGTCCACCAATGACGGATTGATGGGAGTCCGACGTATGATATTTCCGCCATAATGGAAACTGATCCATGAGATTCGTTGTTATTAAATAGAATTTTGCGCGATTCTCTTTAAATACATACATCGATATAGCTGGTGCGCCGCGATCGACTCTATTTTCATATCAACTCAATTTTTCATGTTTAAAAAATTTTTTTACGCGGTAGAGAGATAAAACGTTTGCTTCTATAGAGGAAGAGAGAGAGAGAGAGAGAGAGAGAGAGAGAGAGAGAACGCGTGAGCTCAGCGTTTACATAAAATATTATCGCGGAACAAAGGCAGACACCGACGAATAACATCGACGGCGCTTTTTGTTCAACACGCGACGATATATCTCACGTTAATACCGGGTCGGCCCAGAAACTGGGACAACGTCGCGTAAAGCAGCGAAATATGAGGCGGCAACCTGACAGCGAAAGCGCGGATAGATACTACGATAATTAAATTGAGATCGTATTAATATAACGGGACGAGAAGAGGCAAAATAATCGACTATAAAGGATGAATAAAGGAGATAGAGTCGACGAATGGATTAATCTGAACGGTGATACGGTGACATTCTTAGTTTAGAAGAACTTGTTCCATAATCTTTGTCCTACAATCTTTGTCCTATAAACACCGATATTAAAATATTATCAACAGTTATACGATCTTCATCTTCTAAATTCTGAGGAAAAATACAGCAATAAAATAACGAGAATTGCGAGAATTTGCAAATGTTAATTAAGACCTTGCAATTCACGCGATCTTATAATATCGCTGATTTTCGCACCATATTACGTGAATTAATAACTCTTACGGAAAATGAGATAATTCTGCGCTTTAAAAGTCGAGTGGCAAGGAATGCGTGGGAAGGAACCTACTCGAGACTCACAAAAGAATAGAAAGAAACTGAACTTTATTCTTCAGTCCGTTCCCTCCCGCCGCGGTGCTTGCACCTCGCCATTTTTATTCTCCTTTTTTCTTTTTTACTTCTAATGTTTTCTATGAACAGCAAACAGGACGAGTGCAAGCATCGTGGCATTATAAATAAATGATGCTTCGCAAACAAGAAAAGAAAATATCTTTAGAAAATATTGTAAAGTAACATTATCGATTCGGTTTAACGTATTCTAGAAAATCTAATAAACTTTGCAAATGCAGTACAAATATATCCTGGCAAAAGTTTAAAATTTTAGTTTTTGAGTTTTGAACAATTTAGAGTTTATCTTCGACTTATGATTGATTTTCCCATTCTTTGATCTCTTGCTTCTCAATTCTCATAATTCGGTGCCCTATTTTTCGTTGGAAAATGTCTTGGGGATTTCAGCAAGTAGTAATTTCAGCAACGGATGGCACTGGCGCACTGCCGCAAACCAAGTTTAAATATTTCAGACAATCCCCAAATGTATTGGCTTGGTTTGGTTCTCTCTCTCTCTCTCTCTCTCTCTCTCTCTCTCTCTCTCTCTCTCTCTCTCTCACTCTCTTCCTCACCCTCTCTCTGCGCGTTTAATTATTCGCCATGCGGATACCGTAGGGCACAGCACGAGCAAAGCAAGAACGTAATTTTGGCTTGACCAATGGTGACCCCGACGATGTTACGTGCTATTCTATTGACTCGGCTTTTGCCGGCGTGTCACGTGCCACGTGAACCAACTAAATTTTCGCAGAAGCCGCGCTTATAGGGTGTATCCTATACGCGCGGTGTATTCACAATCGTGATCTAATTATTTAAATCCTACGTCATTGGGGCAGATCGATGCGGGTGTACTTGTCGATACCACGCAGAACATAGATTTGTATGTTGTCACGTCCATGGAACGAGACAGATCAGTATATGTCAGTACAAAATATCTGACATTGTTACACGATACGCGGAATCGTTTTTCACTCGTTGCCTAAAGCAATTTCTAGTTTCGTACATAACCCTTTACCGTAAGTTAATAACTAACTTCGACGGAACTACCGAGATGATTGTATGGATACGTATATCTGCAAGTTCATAAACTTGCACTTGGAAATGTATTTGGAGATTGCTTTAAGGGCGATACGCGTATTCAGTCCGCTAATTGTAAGCTGAGAGGGACGATCTTCCTCTCTCACTCTCTCTCTCCCCCTCCGTCTCTCTTGGTCGACACAAAGTGAATTAAACGGATATTCGCAGCGGTTCGCAGCGACAAGGATCGCCACTAAGTAAGCACGAATTAACATTGCCGACAACATGCCGAAGAGCAGTTAACACGAGATATGGAGACACGAGCCACTAACGCAATAGCCACGAGCCAGCCTTGATCGAATACCGATCCAACTACTCGCTTACATTCCAATATTACCCTGGAAATTCGTCTTCCTCTCGGCTGAGGTGTTTCCCTGATTTATAAAATAGGATAAGGCGAGAAGACGTTTGAGGTATAAGCAGAGGAAATTTGCAGATCGTTTTTTATTCATCGCCCACCCAAATTCTGCATTGCAATAGAATTTGGTAAAATTGTTATGAAATAGAGATATCGATAAATTATTCTACCATACGTGGGGCATCGCTTGTTACACTCTGTTAGATATTAAAGAAATAATAGTAGGCAACCCAATGTCTTAAATTAAATAACATTTTATTAAACATTAACATTTTGCTTTTTTAACTCTCACGTGTGTCAAAATGTAATTTAATCCATTTCTGTGGTTTCAAAGAAAACAATTATATTAACAACGTTTACATTAACATATGCACTTACAAGGAAACCCAAGGAACCTAAACTGTCTTCCTCTGATTTTAATGAGCTTTAAATATGTAGTTTTTTTTAGAAATAAAAGATACTACATATTTTTTTATAATCGTACTTTTAGAGATAGCAGATACAAAAAAGAGATACAAAAAATGTCTGAAATAAAAGTTGAACTGTTTTAAGAGTATAGGTATTTAATAATTGTAATTAAAAAATTTTTTTTTAATTTTTATTATTTGTATAAATAAAAATTTGTTAATTAAACAAAAATTTTTTAAAATTATTATTATAAGTACTTTCTCAACCATTCAACTTTCATTCAGAACATTTTTTCTATCTCTTACAATTTCGATGATCATCATTCGCGAAGGAAGACACTTCCATGGGGGATTTCCTTTTTAGTAAATGATAAACTAAATTTGATTTAAATTTAATTGAATTTAATTAATTTATTGTGTATCAATAAAATTAATATATTTTTTAATTAAATTGTTTATCTCTATTCTTTTAAATCAATCTATTGAACAATGACGATCTCTATAGATATGATTAAAAATAATTGTAATTGGATATAATTTGACATAAATTTAACAGTGTACAAGGTTGATATTTTATGAAAATAGAAAATGACTAATATTCCCTCTAGAAATCCCTTAAACATCATATTGTGCGCCTTGTTTATTCGATTTATCTCCCTCCTGTAATTGCGCCGATATTTATCATGGGACGATGCTCCACGTGTGATGAGATGGGATAATACGTCGATATCTCTATCTTATAACAATTTTGAGAAACCTATCGCTACGTGAAATTCGGGCGGACGAATGAAAGATGATCGATAAATTTCTTCCTCTAAAATATCTTATCTTATCCTGTTTGATAAATCAAGACACCTCCTTATCCGAGGAGAAGACAAATTTCCGGAATAGTAGTGATATTCCTTGTATTAAAAAAAAAGAAATGTTCAGAATACTAATCATGTATGCTAATGGCCATAGCACACAAAAAACTTAAACAATAAATCGTAAGCAGCAAATTTTGGCCAATCACAGAAGAAGCCATAAAGCCATAATCT